TTTTTAGCTGACATTACAAGGTATATACATGCCAGATAGGCTAAACCTTCGTATGCCTCTTCATGCTTCAGCCCCCATTCCAGAGGACATGCTTCCATGCTGATGATGCTCATTAAAAAAATAATGTGCTAATTACATTTGTGACTGAACTCCTTGGGGGAGAATTGTATGTCTCCTGCTCTGTTTTACCCTCATTCTGCCATATAGTTCATGTTATAGCAGTCTCTGATGATGACCCCGCACATGTTGTTTGTTTTAAGAACACTGTCACTGCAGATTTGACAAACTCAGTGAAGGTACCAGTGTGAGATTTCTATAGATAGCTACAGCACTCGATCTATAGATAGCTATAGCACTAGACCCAAGGTTTAAAAATTGGAAGTACCTTCCAAAATCTGAGAGGCACGAGGTGTGGAGCATGCTTTCAGAGGTCTTTAAACAGCAACACTCCAATGCGGAAACTACAGAACCCGAACCTCCAATAAGAAACTCAACCTTCTGCTGGTGGCACCTGACTCAGATGATGAAAACGGACTTGCGTCAGTCCGCACTGCTTTGGATCATTATCGAGAATTGAAAAATACTAATTATTTTGGTTTTTTGCACTGCAAATATTTGATATATTTGTAATCAAAAATAAATATAAACTGAGCACTGTGCTTTTTGTATTCTGTGTTGTAATTGAAATCAATATATTTGAAGATGTAGAAAACATCCAAAATATTTAAATATTATTCTATTATTAACAGCATGATTAACTGCATGATTTTTTTAATCGCTTGACAGCCCTAATATATATAAAAGGGAACTGCAAAGAATTTCAGAGACTAGGAATCATGAACTGAGCACTGGAGTGACATCTGAGACCTTGACATGCATTTTTAAAGTGAAGCTAATTTCAATATTGGAACATCTAATCCTAATCAAAATTTACTACTATTACAATAATACACCTCTTTGGCCATATAAAATTTAATGAATGATTGTGAAGTGCTTTGAAGTGCTTAGATCAGAGGAAGCCTGAGAAAATCCATCATGAAAGTTACAAGTATACCTGTTTGACATGGAGGTAAACGGAGGCACATTCAGGTGAAGATCACACAGGGAGTGAGTGATTGGCAGGATCAGAAATAAACCCCAATAGTTGGGACTACTCATGCCAAACACTAACCTGTATCTCCTAAACCCTACTGGACACATATGTCATGGCTTCCAAATACATCACTAACTGGAGAGTAACTCTTACAGAGGCCCATTCTGGATTTTTGTTCTGTTGATTTTTTGGGGAACTTCTTAGGTGAAACATCTTCTAATCCAAGTGAGAACAATGATCAACCATCGAGAGTCTTCCAATGCACTTTAACTCCCTTTATTTGAAGGTGTTGGCTCAGTGGTGGGTATTTACACTTGAGCAGATTTAAATTGTCTGGTACCAAAATTTTTCCCATTTGAATTCCATATTGAGATTTTTATTTCTATTCTGCAGATGAACAAGCTTGAAATGTACACATTTGTAATTCCTTAGGACCATTATTATCCTCTTGTACTGAGAAGGCAATGTTAAAGAGAGAACCTACCCTGTGCCTTGTTACACAAACCTGAAAGAATTTGTCTCCACTGCTTTATTCTGACCCATTAGAGAGATGTGATTCCAAGGAAAGACAAAGGACTACAAACGGGGCACTTGGTGACTTCATCCCAATGGGTACTATGACTTTAAGCAAGTTTTTGATGCTTGAATTATATACTGAGATTTCTAATGCTACCACACTCATGGAAAAGAGAAATTGACAGACTTGTAATTCCTTAGGAGAAGTATTATCCTCACATATAATGACAGTGAAAGTGGATCAAAACATTAGCCAGCTTTTTATTGTTGATGCTGAGATCCAAGGATGCAAACATTTTGTAACCAGACATGTTATTAACCTTGTCTTGTAACACAGTGCAACAGGGATCAACCTAGAGCTCAGCCTAGAGCTCAGCCTGTGGTAGGAAGAGTCAAAAGGATTGGGTTGTATTTTTGTTTCTGCAACTGACCCCCATGTGACATTCACCTCAGCGTGTCTCTGCTTCTAGGCCAATCAAACAGAGAGAGTCAGGGTGTGAAGGCTGGAAGTTCTTCAGCGACCTCAGAACTCCAGAGTTCAAAGCCCCTCACAAACACTCACTGGTGTTTCACACATGCACAGGGTTGTCATCATCATCATCATGTTCCTATTACGCCTCTGGCATTTAGAGCAGTGACAAAGCTCCTTCACTCCTGTCTGCTTCTCACAAGTCTTTCAGTGGTTCCCCAGCTTTGCCCCAGGTTTTTCAGCTCAGCTTCCACAGCTCTTCACCATGTTGTTTTTGGTCAGCCTCTTTTTCACTTGCCTTCAGGTATCCATCTTACTGCAACTCTGGTGATGGAATCAGTTTCCATCCAAAGCACATGGCTGATCCATCTCCAACGCTTCCTGGCTATGATGGTGCGCAGATCCTCTTGGCTGCACTGTGTCAATAGATCTTGGTTTGCAAAGGGTTGTATTCTTGGAATATTAATAAATTGTTGTTGGGATTAGACACCTCTGCACTGAGTCATACAGTCACTTTAAACAAAATGGAGGCCAAGCTCTGGTGTCGTTAAGTTAACGAGGTCGTAACGTAAAGCCACACAATCTGGGTCTGTTTCATTTTCATTCGAATGTAGTTTTGCATTTGTTTTTTTTTTAAAACATTTTTATTGGAAAATGAAGGTGCCCCCTTGGTGTCAATCAGCAAAGTTGCTTCAACTTCACAGAGGTTCAGGGCCCCATCATCAAAGGAAGACTCCTCCAACTCATTCCCTGGACATGGAACCCCCCTCCCCCTTGTGGTTATCTGTTACACTCTAAACAAGATGCTGGTTCTGGCAGGAATGTTTTGTGCAGCATGCCCTATGGCTGGTCAAAGTTAATGTCAAATCCCATCCCACAGCCATCTCCTCCTTCCTCAAGAATGTGTGATTTTCATCTCTCCTCCACTCCTTGCTGGGCTCCATCAGCTGCGTTGTCTCAGAAGACGTCCTTTTCTTGGCTGCTCCTGGATGGAGAGATCCTGACATAAAAGAACACTGCTTCCTTTCTCTCTCTGCCATCCCGCTCCTTGACCCATGAGCAAATCTGATCTAGGCAACCCTTTGAGACGGCATTGGTGACCCAAGTGGAGGTCCAACTGTAGGTCACCTTTTGCTCACCATATGATGATATTGACCCATGGTCAGAGGGCCATCACGAAGGCCCATGCTCCACTTAAGTCCCTGTTAAGACCTAGTTGTAAGTTAAGCATGGGACTAAAGTTGTCTATAGGCATCGTACCATCCCCCTGCCAAAGGGTGAATTTCAGGCTTAAGGTCCTGACAGGAAACACACTGGTGGCAATGGAATGATGCTCATTGACTTCAAAGGGAATTGGTTCTCACCCACTGGGAATGGAGGTGGTGAGAATGCAGAAAAATGGCTCCCTGCTTCCTGGCCAGTTTAGAATAAACTGCCCAATGTCCATAACCACAACCAGCATGAATTGGAAGGCTCAAATTGGATTCCTTTCATGACAGCCAGTTGTACTACTGATGTTGCTCAGAATCACCTTGACATTCATTATAATCGCAGCACCAATAAAGTCAGTGGAATGACATGAGAAATGTAGTTGGTCCATGCCATTTAAAGATGAAAGAAAGATGAAGAGTGCAACGTGCATGCCACGCCCTGTGAGGCTGAGATTAGCCCAATCATCACAACCCCTGAGGAAAACAGCTCCATCCAAAGAAGGATTTTGCAAGGCAATCAAGTTTGTTTGGTAACTAATTAGGACCGCCTCCACAAACGGCATCGCAGATCCTCCAGGCAGTCCTAGGAATGGTATAAAAGTGCTCACCACTCAGACCTCTTCTAAACACTTCTCCGGACTTCATCTCCTCGGTGAACTGGGTAAGTCCAATTCAACTCAATCGCTTTTGAACTCTATAAATGTGACAGTAGGGGCTATTTCCATTTAAGATGGAACCTTTCATGTACTCACTGAGATATTTATTAGGATCAGGGTGTTCTCTCCTAATTATTTTGTGTAGTAATTCAGTTACAGGAGCTCGTGGATTCATGATTTTAAGCTAATAGGGGAATTTTAGGAGCAACATGTGCAATTGGGAAACACATTTCCTATTAATTGGAAATAGATTTAGGGCATTGAAATCTTTTCAGTAACTTTAGAAAGTCATTTAGCCATTTTTCACTTAGCTGTATTAGGAAGAAACTTTCCCAGGTTAGTCCAGAAAGGGCCAAATCAGTGGTGTTTTACTTTCACCTGAAGCAGCTGTTACTCCTCACTCTTCGAGACAGGAGAATGGATGAAGTTGACAAGTGGTGAGATCCAGCCTAGCAATTCCTATGTTCTTCTGAGCAGAAATACCCATTGAAGATGCTTCTCCTCAGATGGTGTAATTTAGTGTCGCTTCATGAAAGTCAGTGGACCTGAACCCCAGCTGAGGAGCTTGTCCTTAGTGATTTGTTTGGAGAAAAGTAAAGTTTTCTCTTTGTTCATCAGCAAATTTTGGTGACTTCCAAGGTTTGGAAAACCAGAGAACTATACTGTGAAACCAGACTCAACTGGTTTGCATGCAGAGGTTAAATCCTCCAATGACAGGAAGTGATTACCATGATCCCAGACATGTTCTCTTTGAGAAATGTCTAAAATGGACACAGAATCCCAGGTGCCCAGCATAGAAATAGTGACACTTGTTCCAGTCGGTGTTTTTCAGACAAAGCCATTGAGAGGGGCTCTAGGGGGTCGGTTGGGAGGGAAGTTTAGTGCGAGTGGACAGGAGGTGTAGAAAGAGGATATAGGAAGAAATACATGGCCATGAACACAGGGACTAAGGCCCCTCTTTCTTTCTCTCTTGAGCCACACTGAGCTTTGAAGCCTTTCTTCCACCAGCCCTTCTAACTTCTCTTTACTCTAATTCCTGTTGTGTGTTTCAGGTTTACCTCCTTCCCAGAAAGATGACTTTCTCAGGCCTCTGCTATCCAGAATGCGGGGTGGCCCGGCCCAGTCCAGTCACTGGCAGCTGCAATGAGCCATGCGTTCGGCAGTGCCCTGACTCCGAAGTGCTGATCAGACCCTCACCGGTTGTCGTGACCCTCCCAGGACCAATTCTCAGCACTTTCCCTCAGCAGAGCGGAGTGGGAGCCATAGGAGCACCTGTGGTTGAACCCGGTTTTGGGGGCTCATTGGGTCATGGGGGATTGTACAGCTATGGAGGCCATTATGGAGGATTGTATGGTTTAGGGGGATATGGTGGTTACGGCGGCCGTTACGGTTATGGGGGATTGGGCGGTTATGGTTATGGGGGATTATGTGGTTCTGGGGGATTAGGCGGTTACCTGGGTGGTTATGGTTATGGGGGATTATGTGGTTCTGGGGGATTAGGCGGTTACCTGGGTGGTTATGGTTACGGGGGAATATGTGGTTCCGGGATATCTCGCCATAGGTACCTCAGTGGAAGCTGTGGGCCATGCTAAATCCAGCAGGAAGATCCGTGGATGAAGGAAGAACCAGGAATTGAACAGCAAGATACAGATTCACCCCTGACCTTTTGGGCATGGCTTTCAGAAGTGCTGTGCAAACATGGCTCCAGTTGAGCTCAGTGGGAGCTGTGTTTGCTCAGCACCTGGGTCTGATAGCCATGCTGCATTTCTAATGTTACGCTTTATGACTCTTTCAAGGCTTTGCCAGTGGAGTGCTGATTTTCGTATTCACATTTGGACTCATTCTGAATAACACACAGGCTGTTTACAGTAACTCCACAGTTTAAAGGAAATAGGGGACTTAAGACAGGCATCAGTTACATTTATTATCATTTTAAGTCCCTTGAGCAAGGGAAAAAGAGACCTTGCTGTGAAGGAGAATTAGACCCCATCTGTTCTATCCTTTCCATCAATACGTATCTTTAGTGTTTCGCTTTGACCTTCTCTGCAGCAGACATTTAACTGAGAAGCTGTGTAGTCCTCTGCTTCTGTTTTGCTTTGTCTCACTTCCCACTGACTGAGGGAATAAAAGTCACTGAAAATGGTTGTGAAGGGAACTTGTTTGTCCAGCTCTGCAGCTGCAACAACAAAAAAGCACATCTTGTGTGAAATACTTCCCATTTAGGTGGGTTTTCGGTTGCAGCCCTTCTTGAAAAACTGAAAATATGTTCCTTCTGTTCACGTATTTTTCCTGTAACTGTGTACTGCCAATGTCACTCACATTAAAAACGCTGATGCATCGTTATATCCGTCTTCTGGTTCTCCTTGTTCCTCCCTCCTTCTTTAAACATTTCCCTAGGCAAAATTCATCCCTGAAGAGCCAGCAGCATCAGGCATTTCACAAGATGTGACTTTTTGAAGCCCTGAAGTGATAGGAGAATTCAGCCCTTGAAGTAGTTTACAGCATTATGTTGGGTTTCCGTACTGGGATGGAGTTCCACCTTGCATTACCTGTTGTAACAAAGTAAAGTTAACTCTACCCCAAACTCCTGGAATAGCAGAGCAACTTTCAGGACAGGAAGCCTTTCCTTCTACAGCACTTTGAATGTCTGGCTCTTCACTAGAAAGCTCTTCCCAATGTGCACTTCAGAAATCACCCTCCCTGTTCTATGGAGCTTCCCTTCCCCGGGGTTTGGGTGTTTCAGCAGGGATTATTCATAAAGACGAATGCTGGGAAAACTTTACTAACCTCATTATTTGTTATGGGTACTTTATCTGGAGCTCTCAGACCAAATCAAATCTCATTTCCATCACCACTGCTCCTCCAGATGCTAAGGATGAATGTTTAAATGAATGTATCTCTGGCATGTCATTTGAAAGCATTTTCAATAATAAACTCTCCAACAGACACACAGCTGAAACATAATTATGGAGTCAGCAGCCCTTTTTTAGAATAATTCTCCTTTTTCCAGAACATTCTTCTCTTCTCCTCTGATGGGACCTCCAGTGACATGTAGCACGTAGCATCCATCTCGGAAGCAGTCTTTTATGACAACCTAATGAGAGGTGTAAATTCAAGCAGCTCTCCTCCTTGACACCAACTTTGCACTCACTTTGCAATGCTGGAGATGAGCTGTCAAGGTTCCTTCCCCACTCTGAACTCTAGGGTACAGATGTGGAGACCTGCATGAAAACCTCCTAAGCTTACTTTTACCAGCTTAGGTTAAAACTTCCCCAAGGTACAAACTATTTTACCTTTTTGCCCTTGGACTTTCGCTGCCACCACCAAATGTCTAACTGGGATATAATTTAGAAAGAGTCCATTTGAAAACATCTTTCCCCCCCAAAATCCTCCCAAAACCTTGCACCCCCCTTCCTGGGGAAGGTTTGATAAAAATCCTCACCAATTTGCATAGGTGACCACAGACCCAAACCCTTGGATCTTAAGAACAATGAAAAAGCATTCAGTTTCTTAAAAGAAAAATTTTAATAGAAGAAAAATAGTAAAAAGAATCACCTCTGTAAAATCAGGATGGTAAATACTTTACAGGGTAATCAGATTCAAAACCTAGAGAATCCCTCTAGGCAAAACCTTAAGTTACAAAAAGACACAAAAACAGGAATATCCATTCAATTCCGCACAGCTTATTTTCTCAGCCATTTAAAGAAATCAGAATCTAACGAATCTCTAGCTAGATTACTTACTAAGTTCTAAGACTCCATTCCTGTTCTGTCCCTGGCAAAAGCATCATAGAGACATAGAGAGAGGCTTTGTTTCTCCTTCCCCCCAGCTTTTGAAAGTATATTGTCTCCTCATTGGTCATTTTGGTCAGGTGCCAGCAAGGTTATCCTAGCTTCTTAACCCTTTACAGGTGAAAGGGTTTTTCCTCTAGCCAGTAGGGATTTTAAAGGTGTTTACCCTTCCGTTTATATTTATGACATGAGCTGACAAGATTTAGGGCAATGGGGCAAAAATAGTTCAGCTTCACATTGAGATTTTGGATTTCATTGCACCAAGAAAACTTAGTTCAATTCATCTTCCTCTGACTCTTTGCCCACATGTGTTCATCTACTGGCCAACAGCAACATCCACTCCTTGGTGAAATGACAGGACCAAAAGTTGATTTCACAAGGATGTTACAAACACAACTGACTGCCTCATTTCTGCCCACCTCAGTTCTGCCCAGATAGACAAACAAAACTACACCAAAGTCATCTACAGGAGTCATGAAAGACAATGGAGGAAATAATTAAGGAATCAATTTCCAGACACCTAGAAGATAATAAGGTGATAAATAACAGCATGGATATATCAAAAACAAAATCTGTGAAACAACCTAATAGATTTCTTTTACAGGATAACAAGCCTTGTGGATAGTGGGCAAGCAGTAGATGTGGTCTATCTTAATTTTCAGTAAGGCTTTTGATACTTTCTTGCCTGACCTTCTCATAAACAAACTAGGAAAATACATCTTAGTTGGTGCTAGGATAAGGTGGGTGCATAACTGGTTGAAAAACCATTCCCAGAGAGTATTTAGCAGGGGTCTACACTCCAACTGGAAGGGCACATCAAGTTGCGTCCCACAGGGATCAGTTCTGGGTCTGATTCTGTTCAATGTCTTCATCAATGATTTAGATTATAGCACAGAGAGTACATTTATAAAGTTTGCAGATGATACCTAGCTGGGAGGGGTCTCAAGGATTAAAATTCAAAATGAGCTGGACAAACTTGAGAAATGGTCTGAGGTAAATAGGATGAAATTCAATAAGGACAAATGCAAAGTACTCCCTGAGGAAGGAGCAATCAGTTGCACACATACAAAATGGGGAATGACTGCCTAGGAAGGAGTACTGTGGAAAGGAATCTGAGGGTCATAGTGGATCACAAGCAAAATGTGAGTCAAGAGTGTAACACTGTTGCAAAGAAAGCAAACATCAATCTGGGATGTATCAGCAGGAATGTTGTAAAGAATACAGAAGTAATTATTCTGTTCTACTCTGAGCAGGTTATGCCTCAGCCGGAATGTTGTATCCAATTCTGGGTGACATATTTCAGGAAAAATGTGGAGAAATTGGAGTCCAGAGAAGTCCACAGAAGACCAAGAAAACTGATTAAAGGTCTAGAAAACATGACCTGTGAGGAAAGATTTTAAAAATTGGGTTTGTTTAGTCTGAAGAGAAGACTGAGAAGGGACATGAAAACATTTTTCAAATATATAAAAGGTTGTTAACAAGAGGAGGGAGAAAAAAAAATCTCCTTAACCGCTGAGGATAGGAGAAAAAGCAGTGGGCTTAAATTGCAGGAAGGAAGGTTTAGGTTGGACAGGAAGACAAACTTCCTAACTGTCAGGATGGTTAAGCACTGGAATAAATTGCCGAGGGAGGTTGTGGAATCTTGGTTATTGGAGATTTTTAAGACCAGGTTAGACAAACTGCTGTCAGAAATTGTACATAAGAACATATGAATGGCCCTACAGGGTCAGACCACTTGTCCATCTAGCCCAGTATCCTGTTTTCTAACAGTGGCCAGTACCAGGTGCCACAGAGGGAACGAACAGAACAGGTAATCATCAAGTGATCCATCCCCTGTACCCCATTCCCAGCTTCTGGCAGACAGAGGCTAGGGACACCATTCCTGCCCTTACTGGCTAATAGCCATTGATGGACCTATCCTTCATGCATTTATCTAGTTCTTTTTTGAACCCTGTTATGGTCTTGGCCTTCACAACATCCTCTGGCAAGGAGTTCCACAGGTTGACTGTGTGTTGTGTGAAGAAATACTTTCTTCTATTTGTTTTAAACCTGCTGCCTATTAATTTCATTTGGTGACCCCTAGTTCTTGTGTTATGAGAAGTAGTAAACAATACTTCCTCATATACTTTCTCTATACCAGTCATGATTTTATAGACCTCAATCATATCTCCCTTTAGCCATCTCTTTACCAAGCTGAAAAGTCCCAGTTTTATTAATCTCTCCTCATACGGAAGCCATACCATACCCCTAATTATTTTTGTCACCCTTTTCTGAACCTTTTCCAATTCCAATATATCTTTTTTGAGATGGGGTGACCATATCTGCACACAGTATTCAAGATGTGGGCGTACCATGGATTTATATAGAGGCAATGTGATATTTTCTTTCCTAATATCTATCCCTTTCTTAATTATTCCCAGCATTCTGTTCACTTTTTTGACTGCTGCTGCACATTGAGTGGATGTTTTCAGAAAACTATCCACATTGATTCCAAGATCTTTCTTGAGTGATAACAGCTAATTTTGACCCCATAATTGTATATGTATAGTTGGGATTATGCTTTCCAATGTGCATTACTTTGCATTTATCAACATTAAATTTCATCTGCCATTTTGTTGCCCAGTCACCCAGTTTTGAGAGATCCTTTTGTATCTCTTTGCAGTCTGCCTGGGTCTTAACTATTTTTATTAATTTTGTATCATCTGCAAATTTTGCCACCTCACTGTTTACCCCTTTTTCCAGATCATTTATGAATATGTTGAGTAGGACTTGTCCCAGAACAGACACCTGTGGGACACCACTATTTACCTTCTCTGTTCTGAAAATTGACCATTTATCCCTACCCTTTGTTTCCTATCTTTTAACCAGTTACCAATCCATGAGAGCACCTTCCATCTTATCCTGTGCCAGCTTACTTTGCATAAGAGCCTTTGGTGAGGGACCTTTCCAAAGGCTTTCTGAAAATCTAAGTATACTATATCCACTGGATCCCCTTGGTCCACATGCATGTTGAATTCTAGTAGATTGGTGAGTCATGATTTCCCTTTACTAAAACCATGTTGACTCTTCCTCAAGAAATTATATTCATCTATATGTCTGACAATATTGTTCTTTATTATAGTTTCAACCAGTTTGCCCGGTACTGAAGTCAGGCTTACTGGCCTGTAATTGCTGGGATCACCTCTGGAGCCCTTTTAAAAATCGGCATCACATTAGTTATCTTCCAGTCATCTGGTACAGAAGCTGATTTAATTGATAGGTTACAGACGACAGTTAGTAGTTCTGCAATTTCACATTTGAGTTCCTTCAGAACTCTTGGGTGATATCATCTGGTCCTGGTGACTTACTGCTGTTTAATTTATCAATTTGTTCCAAACCTCCTCTAATGACACCTCAGTCTAGGACAATTCCTCAGATCTGTCACCTAAAAAGAATGTCTCAGATTTGGGAATCTCCCTCACATCCTCAACCATGAAGACCAATGCAAAGAATTTATTTAGTTTCTCCGCAATGGCCTTATCATCTTTGAGTGCTCCTTTAGCACCTTGATTG